GATTCCTATTCTATTTCTATAGTTTGATAACAGCAAGAGTAATTACAAAATTAATGTTTGTGCTGTTATTTCTCGTGATTTTTGTCAAAACTAATATAGTTGTGGCTTATTTTTCCTTTGCATATACTGGACAGTCGATTGTTGGAGACAAGACCATTGCATTTCTGCTAATGGATAAAGAAATGTATTCTGGCATGTCTTGTTTGACAGAGGCTTCTCCTGTTGTTGAAAGAGGGATTGCGCTGCACAAGGTTTAGTTTCTTCTTCCTAGTTCATAGATTCATCTACTAGGCAGCTTTAACATAAAAAAGGCGGCCCGTTATGAAATAGAAGGTCTCATTTCCGGACTATCAGTCTGTCCAAATATAAGCAACATGCCAAGATTATCGGCAGTCTATGTTCGAGCATAATCGATGATTTCCTACCTTCTTCGACCTTGTTATTTTCCCATCAATGATTATTAGCATATTGGTCATCCTATTCTGACACTAAGCTGCCATTTTTTGTGTGGCAGATGATACATTTTATAACCATGGCTTTAGGAGGGGAAGGTTATCTTAATTTCATGGGAAACGAGGTGAGTTTAGTTTCTAAATCTTCTGCTCAATCTCTTGGCCTGTTGTTAATATATGAAGTTTTATCTCTAATAAACTGATATTGGCTTACATTTTAGTTTTTGTTGGAAGTTCGTTTTTTAAATTTGGATCCTGTATGTTATCAATTGCGCTATGTAGTCTATGATCTTTTAAAAATTCTAAATACATTTCGAGTATTTCAATTTTGTTTTGAATAGATCATTGTTGTTAACTCTATTAGTTTAACATCAAAGAGTGTACATGGTGGATTATATATAGGTAGGCAACTTAACGAATGGGGTTCGAGTTTAGGGGATGAGCTATTTGTGGAGCTGACTTGGCACATGTTGTGCATGATTATCATAAATTCATAATGTTAGCATGCCACATCATTATTGAACCAATAGTGTTAATGACAGATTGTTTAGAACTAAATAGAAAGTTTTAAGAAATAATTGAAACCTTTTAAATTCTAGAAACTAGATATGGAATTTAACCCTTTATGTTTTTTTAGTTATGATTCTAGTTTTGGATATGTGCCCTGTGGTTTCGAATGGTTTAATTTCACATTCTTAACTGACATCATTTTATGCGAATTTTTATTATTGATTCTTATAGTTCGGGCATCCCGAGTGGATCGACTTCCCACGAGAAGGCAACGGGTGGAGTTATGACAAGTGTAGGAGACAATGGAATCTGCCTGACACAGATCACCTGAGATACAAGGTCGGACGTTTCATTCGTATATTGCTATGTTAATTATTAGGTTCACGTTAAAGTTTTATCAATTGACGACATTTTCAGTTGACCGTTCGTTTGTGCTATCTTTCTCGAGTATATGATGCTTCCTTTATTTCATTCTTATAAATGATAACAGCATGACTAATTGTTCTGAACCATAAAGTTTGTTCAAGATCTTTAGACCTATCTCAATGAAAAATAGTTGCAGCTTTTCCTTTCGCGAATTCAAGGGCGTCGACTTTGTAGCAAACTATGGATTTTTTCGATTTTGTTAATGATTTCTGAATTAGTTTTTTTTCTCCCCATATTTGTTCCACTTCTGCTAACCTCAGGTGAATATAAGCTCTAACATTTCCATCCCATATCCCTGGTACAGTTTTTGAATGCTTTTGACAGAGCAATGAACTCGCTTGATGATAAGTTTTCATTCCTTGCATCAAGTAAGCAGATCGTGAGCTGTACAAGTGAAGAAGAAAAGGTGCTTACTCCCTCAAACCTGAACTGGATCTTTTCCACAGTAATTTGTATTCTTGGATAATCTAGTTAGGATCCATGATGGGTTCAATTCATGATAAAATGAATAGTATGCGATATTAGTATTTGAAAGGAATGAAAGCTATATTAGCTGGAGATTCCATTTGGATGGATATTATTATCTTGAGACACGAAGCCTGGAGTTGATCATAAACACTGCTTTGCAAACTTGAAAACCATCTAGTTTAACTGACCTTCGTGATCTAGGTGATCGTCTTTGAACGTGGAGACCTAGTGTTCGTGTTCAACTTTCATCCCATAAACACTTACGACGGGTATGTGGTTTTGTGACGTAGAGCACATGGATTTCATAATCATGGTATAGCCAATCCATTCCCTTACAACTATGATATAATCCTTCAAATGCATACAGATACAAAGTCGGGTGTGACATACCTGGAAAGTACAGAGTTGCGCTTGATAGCGATGCTTCGGAGTTCGGCGGACGTGGAAGAGTAAGAAATCCTTGGCGGTTCATCATTTCTTAAGTTTTTATTCATTTCCTTCTTTGGGATGCATAAGAAAACTACATGTTGCTTCTCTGATGATCTTTAGCTTCATGCATCGGTAACAGGTAGGCCACGACATCGACCATTTCACATCCCCAGAAGGAATCCCCGGGGTACCCGAAACAAATTTTAACAACCGACCCAATTCCTTCAAAGTTCTTTCACCAGCTCGAACTTGTGTGGTATGATAAACATGGCTGTTTGAATTGCTTTTTAGTTTCATGATATCCTTCCATTTCCCCTAGTGGCATTCAAATGACATTTTCATGTTTCCCTCTTAAGGTTTACTACAGGGTTTATGAAAGCAAAGAAAAAGAAAATGAAGAAAATGGTGTTTCAGTTGGTGCGAGCGAGGCACATGCCACCGATGTCGTCTTAGCTCGGGACGAGGAAGGTGAGATTTCAAAGATTGAAGGCGATGATGATGTTCACTCGAGCAAGATAGAATATTTTCCAGTGAGAGAGGACTAGTAGAGCAGCAAGGACATCAGATGATGAGTAGAAAAGTTGTTTGAATACAATACATTGAGTTTCTAATGTAAATATATAAAACTCAATGTATATGCAACAAAACTTGAATAATGTCCAAAATTTCACTCTTGAAGTGTATTTTGTAGCTCGATGCTCTTTTGATGTGCCAAAGCATTGGTCACATTATTGCAGTTTCCAGGCAGATATGGGCAGCAGGTTTACTTCGAAAATAAAAATGTAAATATTTGTTGTTAGATACTAACAATTTTCGTTCTTGAAGAGTCATATAATAAGTCGTTGTTATTGCCTTTTTGCTTGTTTTCCCATATAACGCTAATTTCAATTTCTCGAATCTTGCTTTTAAAATTCCCTTTCGAAATCACTCTGCCCCCGTTATCTAAAACCTTATTCTTGAACCGGGGTCAAAGACTCGAGCATACGTCGCTAGGCTGTAGACGATGCGAGAACGAATAGGCTTAACTCACTTGTTGCTGAGAAGTGAGCATCGTACTGTCGTAAGTCCGCTACCATCAAAATGCGATTGTGACAAATAGTATTAAAGTGTGATTGTGAGTATCAAAAGTTCTTTACTATAGATTGATAAGTGCGATTGTGACAAGTAGTATAAAAAACTCTTTACTATGGATTGATAAAAGTAGTATCAAAAGCTCTTTACTATAGATTGATAAGGGAGGAACGAAGGAGAAGAGGGTACATTTTTTTTATGATTCAAACCTACCAACTCTCGTAAAAACCAAGGATTTGAGCTACATGCTCTATCAAGGATTGGGCTTCTTTCTTCTTCTTTTTTTTTTTTTTTTTTTTT